TGTAGCTTTATTAGCTTTAAAGCCTAAATATCTGCTAAATGCTGCTCAACCTTGTAACCAATGATTCTGTATTTTATTGGTTTTGTCTTTGTACACAAATACCCTTGCTTTTAATTTATATAACATAACACTTATTGCTGATATGTCCACGATGCTGTGCTGCGTATAACTTTGTATTATCTAGTTTATTTAGCTGTGTTCTGTCACTGTGCTCATGTTTTAAATGTGCCCTGTTAAAGGACTGCAGATGGAAATTTACTTCAAGCAAACTCTAGTACAACACAGCAAATAATGACAACTATGGAATTACACAACGTCATAACCAGGGAAAAATGGTACAACAAACAACATTTACTCATAGTAACTCAAGTAAAACATCACTCATATTTCTTATGTCATAGAAGTCGAGGGTCATCACACAGGATGAATATTTTACTAAAGCAACCCAGAAAAACCCTATTCTCTTAGAGAAAATAGGTAACAGCTAAACTGTATGCCTATATATCTTGGATCCCCAAAACAAGATGCAAGGAGGGGGTCACAAATAAGAATAATAGCTAATTCTGCTGGTAACGACCATGCTAATTAAACGCTCACTTTTTACTGGGACTGATTGGGTTAAATTTAGTTGAGAAACAAAAATAATCTGGCTTTCTTTGCAAATACTCTTAAATCTATTCACTTCCCTCCATTAACTGATACACACCACACTGTCTTCTGTTTGGCACACGGCAGTTTTGTTCAGATTTATTTCTTGTGAATTATGTGTTTTCTCCACAATGTGGATTTGCCTCTGAATACTAGTTGACACTCTGCCTTCTGGCTTTCATCCACACTTCTGAGCTCTCCCTTGGACATTTTAACCAACAGCTGCTGATGAGATGTGGATTCTTTCTCCCAGACTGGCATAATTAGAGCTGTGAGAAGGAGAAAACATACTGGAGCAAACCACTGCTGGAGGACACAGAAGTTTCCATGCTGCCCTTCCTCGAGTACGCTCTCCAGTCTTCAGACCCAAAGCAACAAAATGAATAAATTACAACTGCTGACCAGGACGAACAATGACTTCACTTATGCATTCTTTTCAGGAAAATTGGTTGTCCCACAACGCTGGTGGTACAGTGGAACTTGATTTGGGTGCACTGTGATACACAAATCAGCAGCAAAACAAAAGGGAGGGAATGTATGTTTTAATATAAAAATGTATAAAAACAAGTGGTGCTCAGTTGCGCCTGTTGAATTACAACTCAGTTCTCTCATCTTGAAAACGTTGCTTTTCTCTGCAAGCCATTTTGCTCACTCTGGGAGTTTGCTTCAATCATTTTTGCTGCTGTGTACATCTCCCCTCAGGCAAAAAGCAAATGGCATGCCATGCCTACTATCAGGACAGATAATAAAAATGAAAACCAAACATCCGACTCTGCAGTCTTCATTCAGGGCAACTGGAGAAATGAATTCCCCTCCCAACACAGGAGAGAATACAACATATTAATGCTGAAGGCAGACAGACATAGCTAAACTTCAGTTCAAAAGTAGACCCAAGACACAGTTGGAGAGTGCAGTGACTCCATCACCACAATAACATGGGAGTCTCTCGGGTACCTGCTAACAATTGTCAGCAAGCCCAACTGATGAAGAAGTTAGGTTTCTATTTTGAAGCCACAGGTCCGCTCATCTTCCCCTAGAGCCGGGAGCTCAATGGTCAAGCCAATTGAGTCATTCCAATTCCAGAGGAAAACATTTACCAAGAACCTTAAATGAGATGGGAAAATATCCCACTGAGATTGTTTTACCTCAAAGTGCAAAATCTGTCTTCATCTACTCTCCCCTTCATCTCACACCTAGTGCTGCCATCCACTGTAATACATAATATGTTTGATACAGTACAGTGGTTATTAAGCACTCTCTAAGCCAATAAAGTCAGTGGCGCCTGGATGTATCAAAATGGCGCCTATTGTTAATGAGTCCTAATGACTTTTGTGATGTTAATCCAGCACCACTAGCAGGTCACCATTTACCAAACCTAAAAGGCACAAAGTTTTGAACAGACATTCATGGTCCCCAGAGGATGACGCCTACTGACGATGGTGATCCTGACATTCTTTATAGCACCACCATGAGATTCACGTTTTTGGTTTTGAGTGAAATATCTCGGCAGCTATTAGATGGATTGCCATGAAAGTTGGTGGTATATTTCAAGTGGTGTATTTTAAATTAATTTCAAAGATTTTACTCAAACAACAAAATGTATCTCACACAGCCTTAGAATAATCTGTATTATAAACCAGATTTGGACAAAGGTCTTTTCTTTAGCACACTTTATTGCTGCTGGTACACAATTAGCAGTTCATTTGGTACATTCCTCCCTTTTTCCTACAAAGAATATTACTACAGAATGAAGAACAGTTTGGCTTTTCAGACTGCGGTTCATTGCCAATCTAGGACCCGTTTATTAAAATCTGACACTCAACTCAGGGTCATTTGCTTTTTGGAGCAGTTTCAGATGACGTGTGTGACTAGATAATTCCTTTAGGGAAAAAAATATGGCTGTTTTTCTTGAAACACCAATGACCACATGATGTCTCTTGGTCCAATATTTGACATCACTAATGCTAATAATAAGCACCCTTACACCTTCCATTCCAGTTTAAATATACTGTCTCTTCTCGCTGGGATAAGGTCCAGCATATTTTCCGCACTGGTGAGTGGCTCATTGGCTGTCTGCTGCCCTCCATCTAGGAACGGCGTGGCACCAGGGTGAGGAAAAGGGCAGGCGGGATTGCCAGTGACCCTACACATCTAGTTAACCATCTGTTCTCCAAAGCTTTCCATTTTGAGACGGTCAACAGCACCCAAAAAAATCACCTGTCCATACCAACAGCTTCTTCACACTAGCTATCATTTAAGATAACCGGCTTTAACACAAACTCACCACACACATCTCCTCATTCTGCAATTGTCTTTCATAACGTCAGTTAATATTTAATACATTTGAATTTGCATGATTTCACAGTATGTACTGTCTGTTCAACCTTGTGTAACCTCACACTTTGCAAACTTTGGCACATTTTAGCCTCGGAAATATACAGTACAGTCTCCGATGTGCATAATTCATTTCATGCATCTCATTCCTTTTCAGTATGACTTATTCTATGGTATGCTGGACCCATGCACTAATGAATACTCATTATACTTCCTCCTAGAGCTACAGCTGTACTGTTTGCAAGACTGCTCACATGCACAATTTTAATGAGACCTGGATGTAGAGTTATATGTATATGTAGTGTCATGTTTTTTGAATGTCTCACCTTTTGTCCAACATGCAATCTCACCTTCATGCCAGATCCTGTTGACAATATACCAACTGTGTGTAGTGCCTGTCTGCACAGAGTTTAGTGACACAGATCCCTCATGACGTAGTCTTCCATGAAAAAGTCTGACCCTTCATATTCTGATTGTGTCTGTTCCATCGTGCACAAAGCCACCAGTGATTGGGTATAATTGTAGAGAGACTGCATCAATCGTTTCATCAAATGCCTCAAAACAGCCTATGTTTATGATCAAGTCACTTCTGGTGGCCATATTAATTATAACTCCTGTCCACTGGGTGCAAAAAGGGAACAGGAATTCTGCAGAGGGTGGATGGATGGCTCAACAAAACATCAAACTTTGAGAAAAGAGAATGCTGTTTGCTTGAAAGCCTACCTACAGTCACTGTGGCTCCTTTAAAGTTCGAACCATGACCATGATCGTTCCTTAACCAAGAAGTCACAGTAATTATTTTTGCAACAATATAGTAATTTCTAAATGTTTTAAGGGACCGACATGTTGCCCTATAGTTCAATCTTGAGTGCAATGACAAACTATGTTAGAAAAAGTAATGTATCATTTAAGTTGGAGGACTTTTTGAGTTGAGAGTGTAAATAAATCTACCCTTGGAAAGTAATACATGGCATTTTAACTTTTTAAGAGAGTGTTATGTGTTCTACCCATCTCAAGGACTTTATCCCAGAAACTAAATTTGTTTAGTCAAATCTAAAGTCAGACATTCTCTAATCAAGTATTGTTGTATTTTTACACAGCCCCATAGCAATTTGGAAGTTTTGAAATATTCACCTTATCGTCCACAGCCCAGTCAACTGTGCAATTCCAAAGAAGCACCTTCCCATATCAATACAACATAATATACAGTATATACTAGACTTGTACCAACCTTGTTTGTAATGCATAATATAATTGTATATATAATTTCAATTCAAATTAACTTAAGCCTAGTAGTCTAAAATATATATATATATCATAACAGATTGTGAAATGAATTGCTGTTTTTTAACATGTTATTTTGCAATATATATTGACAGATGACAAAAGCATGGGTAGCAACTGACACATAAGTCACTGTTTATATGAAATTCAGAAGCTATACCAATATGTTTCTACACATTTTTATTCATAGCCTTCGGCATTGATTTACCCCGTGATGATTTTATTAAAACCCTTCTAGGTATATTTCTTTACTTTTTTTTTTACCAGGTCCTCCCTCTTTCTTTCCCTCCTCCTTCCCTTCTTCTCGTCCATCCCCCTGATGATTTCTCTCCACTGCCAAAAGGGGGCAACAAAGCGGCACTTTTCAACACCCTGAAACACCAAAAAACCCCAACGGCAGTACTTGCATATTGTTACTCTTTCTCTGTCTCTCTCTCTCTCACACACACTCTTTCTGTATCTTTCTCCTCTTTTATCTTTCTTATTTAATCTGTCTCTCTTTAACTCCTTACCAAGTTTCCCCTGTCAATAAAAATCAGTCCTGGTGTAAAAAGATATGAGAGAGAAAAACACGAAAGATGTCTAAGAGAAGAAAGTCTAAACATCTCTCCCTCATTCACTGGGTCTGTGCGTGTGTGGTGCTGAAGGAACAGCGCCCTTCACATGGGGAAAGAGAGCAGCTGTCCCATCCTTTTCTATTGGCGTCTTATCTCCAACAACACAGTCATTCCTTCTTTATCTAGGACAGGAAACTATCTGACTTCTGGAAATACGTGCGGCTTTGACTATCAGCACGCACGGAGGAACATATTTCTTTAATTTTTTCCCCCATAGCGCCCCCCGCACCCCCTCCCCTCTTTCTCTGACTCTCTCTCTCTCTCTCTTTTCCTCTCTCTCTCTCTCTGGCTGCTCTGCGCTCTCTTGTGGACTCTCTTAAGGCACTTTGGATAAAAGCCCCCGCAAGAAATGGCAGATTTTATGTCTCTTATCTGTCCCTCCCTGGGCAGGTGGTGAAGTATCTGAGGGAGACGAGTAAGTATTTTATTACTAGAAGGGAAAAAGAAGCGCATCTAATCTTTTCTCCCTCTGCTCTTCAGTTATTCTGGCCACCGAGCCAAAAGTGGGGTTTCTCTTTTCTGGTTTATTCACAGGAGCGGACTCTCTCCTCCACATATCCTCTTCTTCTTTTGCTCCCCATCGTTCTGTCTATTCTGTCGCTGGAATCGAGGAGATCCAGCTCCTCTCCTCTCCTCCTCGTTCACCCCTCATCCAATCGGTTTTGGAGGAGAACCCAAAAGAAGCGTCTCAAGGCTTCGCGCTTTTCCTTCTGCCGCTGCAAGAAGGATTTCCAAAAGTAATTCCAAGTGGACTTTTTTTGTGATTTTGGCAGAGAAGTGCAGCTCGGGATCTCATCCAGGGAAGAGAAGGAAGATAAAGCACCCTGACTTGTAAGGGACGTATTTCTGGAGAGACAGAAAAGTAAAGAAGGACCGAGAAAAGAGGCTGAAACGGAGGCGAGAAATGGAGAACACGCGTGGTCTCTTATTTCCAACAATGTCCTTGCGGGTGGATTAAGACAAAAAAAAGGAGAGAACTTGACTTGAAACGTTGCATTTTATATGATCGACTTCTGTCTGGATATGGACTGATTACTGTTACTGATCAGCTGATTGATTGGTTGATTGTCGAACGTTGCCACCCGGCAAACTTGGACTTGTGGGGGATTTAAGACGAAAAGTGAACCCTGCACTGCAGCTACTCTCTTTTAGGCACATGATGATGCTTCTCCAATAGCACCCCTGGATTGATTCATTGATTAATCAATACATTTTTGACACCAGCCTGCGAAGTGGGACTCTATTGATTGATTATCTCATCATTAAGGTCGGCTTTTTGCCCAATTCACCCAGTTCAACGTTTAAAACAAAGAATCCTGCAATAAAACTTATAATAAAGCCTATTTATAGCCTACTAGCAAATGCCTAAGTCGCTTTATGAATATTACATTAATGTTAAAGCTATCATAAAAGATGACATATTAAGTACCACCGCTATATTAAAACCCTTGTAGGAATATTGCAAGGTACCACAAGGGCAGAAACTACCATTAAGTACTGTAAGAGTGACTATGAACTCTTAATTGCCACAACAGCCTCACTGTAAAATTATTATAAGAATTTAATAGGGATTATTATAGTGCAAGTGTTTCGCGGGATTCCAGTTTGGAGATTGGAAGTTATTTTTGGCCGCGCAAAGTAGAGCGACTCTTCCACACCACTGCCCGGACAGAGACAGAGACAGACGGAACACACAGGTCTACCTACTTGTCTCTGTCTTACATCCCGTCCCAAAAGAAAGGAGTGGGATAGACAGAGGGCGGAGGGGAGAAAAGAGACGGGAGAGAGAAGGGGGGGATGCGTAACTGCGGTTAATTGGAGCAGATTTTGCCTTCCAACATCTTGGAGAAGGAGGGAGAGAAGAGGAAAGGGATTTTATTCTGTTTGCAGCTAGCAAGACTTTCCTGGCTGTAAACCTTTCGTTTATATACACAGAAATTGATTTCACCGGACACACAAGGAGAGAGCCGGCGGTGGGATTATTTCAGCAGATTTCAACATTTTCGTCTGGTCAAGATTGTGCAATCAGCGCCGCTTGGATTCAGGATTAGTTCCAAACCGCCAGGTAAGAAGATTTCACGCTTCGATATTACGCGTGTGTGTGCGCGCAGGTGTGGTGAGTTTACTTCACGGACTGTTTATGTACGGTTAGTGTGTGTATGTGTGTGGGAGAGATAGACACAGAGGGAGTGAGAGAGAGAGAGAGAGAGAGAGAGAGAGAGAGGGGAAGAGAACAAGAAAAAGAGAAGGTTATTCGCTCGACTGTGTGTGTGCGTGCGCCTGGACCGTGGGTGTATGTGAGAGGTGAGAGACCGAGTGGAAGAGAGAGCGTTTTTACGCACGAGTGAGAAAGAGAGAGAGAGAGTGAGAGAGAGAGAGAGAGAGAGAGAGAGAGATAACTTGTACGTGTGAGGTCTAATGGCGTGCGTATGTCCGTGAATTAAGGAGAAGCCGAGATGAACAGAGCGGGAGTCTGAACTCACACTGTCAGAAATCAAGTCTTAAACACTTTGATTCAACTGTTTTGCTCTTTGAACTCTCCGTTCAGGCCGTTGGGCTGTTCATTATTCATTCATCAAACTGCATGCGTGTGTATGAAATAACATGAGTGCGCTAAAAGCTGGGCATCATGGGTGAAAGAGGTCTCCAGGGCGAGAGCATGAGCGTTCAGCCAGAGATGTAGTGCATTATAAAACCCACACAAAATCAGCTAAAATGCAGAAAAATATGTTTTTGTTATATAAGGAAAGATTGTTGCTTTCCTTTTACTTTTACTTTTACTGTTTTGCCTTATTATGAACAATGTCCCCCGGCACAGACACGTAAACACTACATAAAGGGAGCAAGACACCCAGACTGAAAGAGACACAAACTACAGAAGAAGTGGCTGTGCTTTGTGATTATTTTGTGTCTCTTTCTGGTTGTTTTGCATCTCTTTGTGGTCCTTTGCTTCTCTTTGTGTTTGTTTTGCCTCTCTTTATAGTTATTTTCCGTCTCTTTGTCGTAGTTTCGTGTCTCTCTGTGCTCATTTTGATTGACTTACCAAATAGAAATGTCCCTCTAAACAGCAGCCCTTGTCCAGATGGCCCCTGACCCTGTGGGCCCCTGGGCCTGTGCCCATTAGGGCCGTTCAGTAATCCATCCATGCCATTGCATAAACTGATTTGCTCAGTTATGCTCCATGTGTAAGTTAAATCTTATAAAACATACAGGTTACATTGGGAAAATTCTGCAAGTTATGGATATGGATGTATGTGTGCAAAGGTAGACACCCACTCTACTAGAATTTTAAAAAAGTGGTGGATATATTCTCGAAGATTACCCTCAGCTGGTTGGGGTGAAGCACCTTTGGGTGAAAGGGGGACGTTTTGGTTCCACTGTATAATTTTCCCATTTGTTCAAGTCTTCCCAAACACAGACGCTGTTTGTCTGAGTGCTTTACAGCCCAGCAGGTGCTTTCTCTCCCTCCCTCCCTCCCTCTCTTTTTTCTCTCTGTGAGTGTGTAAAGAGAAAGAGAGATTGTATGTGTGTGTTTGTGTGCAGGATTGCAAGGGCAACTACGGAAAGTGTGTGTTTGTGGTGTAATGGTGTGTGTGAGAGGAGAGGAGAGGAGAGGAGAGAGGAAGACAGAGTGGATGTGTGTCATCTAATCATGTGCTACAATGCAACAGCAGGGCATTCACACACACACACACACACACACACACACACACACACACACACACACACACACACACACACACACACACAGAGGAGGGATGCGTGGGGTTTAATTATCTTGGTCATTTAGCAACAAGGTGCGCATCAATCGTCAGAATGGAGGCAGACCGAGCACACATCGGAGGCTGCAGGTGTGTGTGAGTGTGTGTGTGTGAGTGTGTGTGTGTGTGTGTGTGTGTGTGTGTGTGTGTGTGTGTGTGTGTGTGTGTGTGTTGATTTATTATGTGAAGCTGGTGTCGTATAGATCTGACCAGTAGGTAGATGGACTGGCAGCAGAATGACTCCGTCACACTGACCAACACCAGCCATCTATTACCAGGATGGGGAGGAGGGGGACGGTTTACAGCAGGCATGCAGGGATGAGAGAGGATTGAAGGAAATAGAGACAGAGAGGGTGAAGACTAGTGACTGAAGAAGTACATACAATCATGTAAAAATACTCCATTACATGTAAAAGTACTGCATTAAGAATCAGTATCACTGTGTTATGAAATTAGTTAATGCAAAACTACAGGGCACCCTCATGAAAAAAAAAACAAACACATTTTCTGCTTTTGTTTCAAAATTGTTCTCAAAGGAGAACACAGGAAAAGTGATTTACAGAGCATATCTGTATGCAGTAGAAGAAAAGTAATGATTTTAGTTGGTTAAAGTATTAACCTGGGTTCTGGGGATCCCCTGGGGTCCTTGAAGGGTCCACAGAAAAACTTAAAATATTTAAAATGTACAGTTATTTTATTGGTTAAAAGGTCTAATGAGACAATGTAAAAGAATAACAAATCTTTTCAAAGGTTTCTCACTCTTACTGATAATCTCCCAGTCTACAGACAGTTATGGAATAATGGGGATTCCTGACACTACATCTGATCAAATACGGGGCTGCGGCCTGATGTGTATCAATTTGGGGGTCCTTGTCATGAAAAAAGTTGAGAACCACTGAGATAATACATACATTATTGTACTGATTGTTTATACTGATGCAACAATAACATTAATTTTATTGTTGTGCCTGGTTGAGGTATTACTTTATATACAGTTAGGTAGCATTACTTGTTGGGTGTGGTCTGTTGCACCTGTAACCACACCCAACAGTGATGTCAACGAGTCCTGGAGTCCTCCTTTACATCACTGCAGCAAGGTGAGAAGTTAAACCACTGGAGGTCAGAAAAAACACGAAGTACAGTAGGTTACTTGAGTGGATTTACTGAGTTACTAGGGAAGATGAGAAAAAGGTAGATGGAGACAAAAAGAGATGAAAGAAGGGATAAGAAATGAGGATAAATGTACTCACAGCAGGCAGGTAGAAAAAGGGTAAGACATAGACAGATGACAGATAAAAAGGGGGAGAAAGAAAATAGGGTAGAGGTGGAGCGTAGTGCAGAGGGAGTTACTGCTGTTCTGTCTATTATAATTGCTCCATGATAAAAATTAATTCATTTTGTCACCCGGTGCTCCTGTGATATACTGAAGCGCTGCTAAGCCACGGAAATTAAGTGAACCAAATTTAAAAAGTTGTAGCAGTTTCCCCAAATGTTTTAAGCCTCCTGCCCATTGTGATCATCTATCTATCTGTACAAAAGCAGCTTGTAAAAAAATCAGCACTGTGGAACTGTTCTGAAGCTGAATAATTGATAATTATTGATTTCTAAAATTATTTCTAGTCCTAAAATTTGAACTGAAATCAATGGGTTAGAGTAAAGAGGAGGTCAAAGATGTAGAAAGCAAGGAACAAGGAGGAAAACAGCAAAAAAAAAGAGGAGGGTGAGGAAAAAGGAAGAGGTTTGAAGCAGAGGAGATGTGTGAAAGAGTGAATTAAGAAGGGAGGATAGATTTAGAGACATGAGGACAGGAGAGAACAGAGAGGCGAGAGAGATCCATAAATTGTGGAAGGGATGACGAGGCGCTGGAAATATACGAGAGGGGAAGACCGGCTGAGAGGACAGCAGGATGAACGAGAGAGAAAGAGGGGGAGAGAAATAGAGGGAGGATGCTATTGAAGAGCTATAAGCTGCATCACTGTAGATTTGAAATATTGTAGATTCAGCCTGTTTGCACCAATTATTCTTACTGTAGTCTAGTTTATGGCCTCTTACAGGAAATCTTTGAAAAAAAAAGAAAATTAAATGAAAACTTCAAAACCGAATACAAACGGTTTCCTAAATAGCAGCGAGGAAGAATTATCCTCAAGCCAAAGTGTTGCTTTCTGGTGTGTTACTGTTACCTCTCTTGGCCCTGCACGAAGCATTACACACCGAACCTACTTCCTTGACCTAAAAAAAATGTCACCATAAGGTCCATTTAGTAGCTTTTCTGGAGCTTGGGCTCATATAACATGATCTTCCTCAGCAGATGGAGTTCACCCAGTGGAATTTTGGAATAGAAGCTGAATTGAATTCTCTTTGGCTCAGAAATAATGATAATTTGACAATCTACAGTTTCCTGGCAGCTGGATAAACTCGATGTGCTGAAGATCATGTGATATGATTAAAAGCTCCAGAACAACTCAATCAATAAAGCGTTATGTGTATGGCACCTTTCTAGTGCAATTCAATGCTTTATAGATGACAAGCAAACTACTAAATATACCTTGTGGTTAGGTTGTTTTCTCTGCTGCTATTTTCAAGAAAAAACCTTGAGCCTCAGCATTCCTAATGTTGCATTTATTGTTCAGTGGAATTGACAGGAGTCACTTACTCATATGATGTTTAGTGTCCATAATTACGAAGCCAAAACGTATTGAAATTAATTGTAAAATATGTGGTTGTCAATGGAAAACAAGCTCTTTTTCTCCACACCTTTAAACCTAGTTTCTTTGGAGCTCTGTGGTTCTCTGATTACACATCTGTTTTACATAGAAACCTCAGATCATTCATATGCCGCCTGGCATGTGTGATACAATTATGGCTTGTGTGTTGCAAAATTTCAAAGAGTAATTTTGATCAAAGTGATGTCATACAATGAAGGAATCCTTACACTTCTGTGAAACTCGAGGATAACTTAATGTCATGCGTGCTGAAATGATCAAAGAGTCTTTATTTTTGTGTCATATGAAAGATCCTGCTCAATGGCATTTTGGCAAGAGGCAGAAGTACATTCAGCCTGCTGGTTAATTGCATATTGAATAACTAAAAAACTGGAAGCACACTTTATTGCAGCTGACTAGAAGTGTCAAGGCCATGCGAGTCAAGTCAATTTTATTTTTAAGTTGTGTTTACCACAACAGTTTGTCATTACATGTAGGTGTTTTACAACATATTCTGTTTGAAGTATAACTGTACAAAGCAATGCAGCCTTTCTCTTTTTTGGTGATGGACCAGACCAATCAGGGGTTCTTTACATTCAGTG